GGAAATAATGTCATCACAGCGAACGGTGGCGAGCAGGAAGAGAGCGAGGCTGAACGCCCTGATTCAGATGAGTGCAGAGAACCGCGGGCAGACAGTGCCGCTGATGCCCCGTCTAAAATTAAATACCCGCGAGGCATTGCCCTGTTTTGAACTGGCCGCTGTGCCCCTACTATAAGATTTCCTCACTGCAGCACAAACACTGCATTCAGAACCTTACTGAGGTATTACAGTAATATTATAGTAGATTAGAGATACACACCTCCTGTACTTCCACAGGTGACGGCCTCCAGAAGACCGCCATGATGAAAACACCTCAAGATCCAGATGTTCTCACATCCAGCCTGGAAGAAAGATTTGAGATCGGTTTAGTTGTGATGAGATCAATCAATGAATCAATCAGTCGTCCTTTTAGTCGCTCAGACATCCAAGGAAGGTTTGGGCCATCTTTGGTCTGTTGGACCTCTGGTGGAAACTACGAATGGCAGGAAATAATGTCATCACAGCGACAGGATGAGTCACAGAGCATCATTTTAATACGGTAACGTGAGAAACGTACCAGTTCCACCGGCGGCCATCGTCACTGTTCACAGCAGCGTCCAAGGACATCGTGCGCCGCCACGAGACGACAGAAAGTCAGTTCTGAAAGCCAAGAGACGAGACAAGTTAATACCACTGATCTGATAGAATTAAATGTTTACTGACACTAATACAGTAAAATGTAACACCTCAGATAATCTATGTACACGTATCATAACTGTACATTTTATTTTGAGACAAGTTAGACTTTTATTGTTCGCTCAGACATCCAAGGAAGGTTTGGACCATCTTTGGTCGGTCAGACCTCTGGTGGAAACTACGNNTAATGTCATCACAGCGAACAGGAAGAGAGCGAGGTTGAGTTTGTTTAATGAAGCACAGATTCAAATAGACTAATTAAGGACATTTGCAGGTTTCAACAAGTCAGATGTTGACTTTTATTTATAATATTTAAGACTAGAGAAACAAAGAAACTCCAAAAATACTCCAGATGATATGTCAGGTTATAAATATGGCTGAAAATTCATCCACTAACTTCTGTCCATAAAATATTAGAATAGTGAAAGAAGTCCTTTATAACTTCCTACAGACTGAGAACATTAATTCATTCTGCTTGTTTTATTTAACCTACACTGAAATATATTCAGTTTACTGTCATATGGACAATGAAGAGCATTAAATGATCACACATGAAGATGAGAAGAACAATATTTGGCATTTTATGTTTAAATAAACTAAATTAAGATGATGAATATTAGTTTCTGTTGACAGAATTTAATTAATGTGTATTTACTTGCTGCTTTTTGTCAATTTAATTAAGGGATGTAACTCATTTTATTACATTATGAACAACAACAGTGACAGGTCCTGGTCCCCCTGTGGTTTGAGATTTTAGGTCTACTTCAGGAGCTGAGATTAGAGATACACACCTCCTGTATGTCGACAGGTGACGGCCTCCAGAAGACCGCCATGATGAAAACACCTCAAGATCCAGATGTTCTCACATGCAGCCTGGAAGAAAGATTTGAGATCAGTTTAGTTGTGATGAGATCAGATAAATCAATAATCAGTCGTCCTTTTAGTCGCTCAGACATCCAAGGAAGGTTTGGGCCATCTTTGGTCTGTTGGACCTCTGGTGGAAACTACGAATGGCAGGAAATAATGTCATCACAGCGACAGGATGGTACAAAGAACAGAGTTAGACAGAAAATACAAATTGGTTTCTAACCTTGTCGACACCGGAAGGCGAACGGCTCAGGTGGCGCCGCCTCCCCCGCCATGCTCCTCCTCAAACGACGATGAGCAGCGGGCAGGAAGCAACATTTAATATCTGAAGAGAGAGAAAGATATTATCTCAGTATGGTAATCTTAGAAAATACACATTTCAGGCTGAGGAAGGTAAAACAATATATAAATGAAAAATGCCCAGAATAGAGATTTATTTTAGGATCTTTGGTCATTTTAATCTCCAGGTTATTTATTTTATACTGTTGAACTAGTCACTTAATTTCCAGGTTTTGATGCAATTTCAGTTATATTTTATATATTTTTATTAACAATACATCATAATTTAACAGCAGAGAGTATTAACACATTTAACTCATCCTACAAAAAGTTTTCAGTTTCAAACTAAACCTTACGTAGACGAGGGGGCAAAATAAAAAGAATCACAGGATATTTGGTCATTTTAAATCAATTTCCAGGCTGTTTTTAATAAATGGAAAACTAAATTAATCTAAATGTTAAGGTTTCTAGCAGCTGTTGAGATTTCAGTAAGAAATCCATTCATTGTGTGTTCAACAGCATTTCCTCTAACTTTAAAAGAAATCAAATAATCCTTTTATAAGCTTCATTGAAACACGTTAACAGTGAACTGAATAATGAACTGTGGCATTAAACTAACAGTACTTTCAGTCACGTGTGGAAGCGTGTGTGTGTGTGTGTGTGTGTGTGTTAGAGACAATCTGCGACCATCCTGTGAGTAAAGTGTCATAATGTGTTACATGTGTGCAGTTTAAGGTCCGACAGAGCCTCGTTAGTGACTGTAATGTTCCATTTGTTCCTTTTAACGCTTCATTTCAACTCATAGTTACCGGGTAGAGTCACACAGACGCCGGTCTCCTGTCGGTCTCCTGTCGGTCTCCTGTCGGTGTCTCCGCTCCGCTGCTCCAAATGACCCTCCTCCTCTCTTCCGCTCCTATTTATACCTCCGACACGGCCGCTGTGGAGCTGCTCTGCGGGGCGTTACCGCCTCCTACCGGACCGGAGTGTGAACCGTCGGTCTCTCTTTACCGTCTCTACGGAAGCCCATTTCTGCGAATGTGACTGTAAAATATATATATATTGTTTTAATGAGAAACTTTCTCCAAATATTGACTGTGTATCTCAAAATAATGACAAACTTTATCAAAGTCATTAGAAAATGTATCAAAATAATAAACAATTATCAAAATAATAATAAAATGTATCAAAATAAAGTAAAATGTTTTAAAAACAAGAAAATAATTTATTAAAACAATAATAAAATGTATCAAAATAATAAACTATTATCAAAAATAATAATAAAATGTATCAAAATAAAATAAAATGTTTTAAAAACAATAAATTAATTTATTAAAATAATAATAAAATGTATGGAAATAAAAAAATAAAATGTATCAAAATAATAAAAAAATGTTTTAAAATAAAATAAAATGTTTTAAAATAAAATAAAATGTTTTAAAATAATAAAAGAATGTTTAAAATAATAATACAATTCTCAAAATAATTAAAAAAAATATTAAAATATTTTTTAAAAGTATCAAAGATAATAAGAAACATTTGACTTAACATCTCCAAATAATGATTTAATATCACAAAATCATTATTTTGAGATACAAAATCAATATTTTGAGAAGGTTTATCATTTTAATAAGTCACATACATTTTAATAACTTACATATTTTTTGACCCATCACATTGGTGTGAATGGACTTCCTCTTTTCTGGACAGAGGCTGTGGGTAACGATAAACAAGCTACTGTTCGATATATACTTTACTCTTTTATTCAATTCACATCAGTTCTATTTTTATATGCTTTAATATCATCAATGATGCTAGAAACACTTATTGCCAAAGCGTTAATAAGTGATTGAAGAATAAACAAAATGATACATGAATACAATTCTAAAAAGATTAAATTAGTTTAGAAAGAATACAGTTAATTAAAATCAATTAAATACATAAACAGCTATTAAACAGTAACGATATGTGTGTGTGTGTCCCATATGTATAATAAGATACTGAGTGTATAGTAATGATATTGTAATGTGTGTATATATTTGCTGCATGTCCCTCTCCTGATATAATCTTCTGTTTTTCATCGTCATTTAACTCTTTAAAGTTTAGAGTGTAAATAACTGTTAACAAAAGGGAGCATGAACAGCGACTTAAATGTTACACTTGTAGATATATATGAATCAAATAATAAAGTGGGAGAAATTATACTAAAAAAGGAAATTAAAGAAATATTTGTATGCATTTAAAATTCATTATTAAATGATTAATTAAGTGAGAAGGGAGAGAGACATTAGGATAAACAGAGAGAGAGAGAGACTCATACGCCCACACCATCATACAACCGACACACGGACGAACCACCAATCACCTCCCTCCTCTCGCTCCTCATTGGTGGATGCAGCAGCGAGGCCCGATGGATGCACTCCCCCCCTCCCCTTCTCTCCCTCTTTCCCCCGTCTCCTCCCTCCCTCAGCCTGGTGCTGCTGCTGCAAGCTGCTGGTGTTGCCGTGACGATGATATCCTCCCCCCCACCTCCCTCCCACACACACACACACACACACACACACACACACAGCAGAGAGGAGAGGAGAGGGAGCAAACAAGACGCTATCATGACGCGATGGCTTCAGGCTGGAAAACAGACACACTCACACTCATCGCCTGCGTCTACGGATGGTGAGTGCTGGGTTTCTTTTTTGGGGGGTTTGAGGGGGGACAGAGGGATAGACGGATGGATGGGTGGATGGGTGGAGGAATGTGTGGAGATGACAGCAGCATCTGTAGCATGGTGTGCTTCCCTGAGAGAGAGGGATGACGAGGGAGGGAGGAAGGGAGGGAGGGAGAGACTGAGGAGGGATGGAGGAAATGAGGATGGACGGACTGCAGGATGAACGAGGGTGGAGGACGAATGAATGAACGCAGGCACAGACTGATCAGCTTTAGAGCAAACACAAGTGTGTGTGTGTGTGTGTGTGTGTGTGTGTGCTGTCAGGCCTGTATGTACTGCACGTTAGCATCCTGAGTGCTAACAGTAACAGGAGGTACGTCACTTCTGTGAACAGAAACTGGGCTGATCCCCTCTGGGTTTTACAGCTATGGATACTGAACAGGCGCAACCAGGGAACAGGCCCCAGGGGGCTCAAGGGGTCACTGGGGCCTTAGGCCAGAGCCTCTGTGTGAAGTTTACATAATTATTGTTGGAAAGTCAGTCAAACAGCTGTGATGGGACACGAAACGACACAAGAAACAGCAAGAGAGACGAAAAATGAGCTGCAAACCACCACGAAGTGACACAAAATGACCACAGAGATGCAACACGCTACCATGTACAGACCATAAGAGACTACAGAGTACTACAGAGAAACACAAAATGACATATAAAGACACATAAGATGAACACAAAGTGACCCAGAACAACCACAGACACACACTACAGCGAACAGACCGAAAACGAGTACAAAGAGAGACAAACCCACTACAGAGAAACAGAAAAGAATGGAAAACGACCACAAAACACAAGAAAAATGACATGGACAAAGTGATGCAAACCACCACGAAGAGGTGCAACATTAGTGCAAAGAGACAAAAATTGACCACAAAGAGACGCAAAACAACCACAGACACAAACTACCACATACAGATTGAAAACAACTACACAGAGAAACACAAGAACTACAAAACTATGACAAAAAAGACCACAAAGAGAAAATCACAAAGACACAGGAAAAAACGACTACAAAGTGATGCAAACCACCACGAAGAGGTGCAGCATGACTACAGAGACATAAAACAACCACAGAGAGACATAAAACAACCACAGAGAGATGCAAAACAACCACATACAGACCGAAAAAAAGACCGTAAAGACACACAAACTACAAATAAATGTAAAATGACTACAAACTGTTGCAGATCAACTACAAAAGAGACAAATAACAACAACAGAGACGCAGAATGACCACATACACACAAACGACCACATACAGACCTTAAAGCTCGTCACCTGTAAATGTATTACAGTTCATGTGGGGGGGCTTTTACCTGTCTCTGCCCGGGGAGGGGGGGCACTGTCTCACAATCATGGCTATATATAAACAAGGAGAGGCCAGTAATCTTTAAACCTGCCTTTTGGGAAGGAAACTGTTGTAATCTGACCACAACCAACAGGATAAAACTGCTACGAAATGCTAGCTTTGTCATGCTAACATGATGGAAGACAGATGCTAGTTCGATGCTAACTGTGATAAATATTTTGATTATTGTGGGATTTGTTTGTTTGTTTAGTTTTGACTAGTTGCCACAATAGTAACGCAACAGAGACAACATCAATAACAACGATATACAATGCTATTAAAATCGTCTTTCACACAATATCACAAAAATTAAGACAAAAACGAAAAGGCTTCAGAGCGCTGCCAAAGACAGGATTTGACTTTAAATTTGACTTTAAATTTGCATTAATTGGCACACTGACATATTATTCAACCCTATAAAGATATTAAACTGAACATGTTAGCAAACAGTTTCCTATACATCCAGATTTGTAGTCTTGTTTGTGTCGACCTAATGAATGCAAGTCCAGTATTCACCCTCTTTCAGCTCAGTTTTTGTTCTCTACCGACTCCTGAGGGAAATATCTGGCTCTTTAGCTGCTGAGCAATCTGAATTATTTGAACCCAAATGTCAGTCAGAGACTACCAGGTATCTTATTAGTTATGAATCTAATATCTTTCTACAGTCTAACAGTGTCTGGGAGTGTAAAACCCCCTTTTAAAACCACCAAAATGAAAAATAAACTGGATTTCCCACAACAAAGGAGACACACAGAAGAGAGAGTAGGTGAAAGAGAAACAGAGTGACCATGAGCTTTCCCATGGGAATATACTGTATGAAGAGAAAGAGATCAGATTACAATCATGTGTGTTTGTGTGTCAGCTGTAGATTTACTGACAAGCTCTTTAGAAACTGGTCAGACTCTTACAGTCCTGCCTCAGCCTGCAGAGACTACGTAACTGAAATTCATTCTTATTGGATTTCCAGCATTTTCTCCTTTTTTAAATGTCACGATGATGCAATGGAGTCTGGTCTGTGGAGCCAAGATGACGTAAGTTACCTCATCTCAAATCAAATAATCAATGAACCGAATGAGATGTGAGCTTTCCTCATTTAATGTGGCAGTTCATATGTTTTCTCATTCTTCATGCACTATGTGGTGTTTTGACTGTATTTTGTGGCCTTTTTTTTTGTGAATTGAGACATGAAACAGTGGCAGCAGAGCTGGCTCTAGGCGATCAACAGCAACAGGCAAATAGAGTCTGTACAAAATCATCAGAAATTGACTCCAAAAATGATTTTCCATCATCCTTTGTGGTCTTTATCTTTATGGATACGCCCGCTTACAAAACAAAAGATTCCACAGCTATAGTAGCTTCATCAGGGTTCCCACGTGTGCTGGTAAACCTGGATACTGATTAAAATGACCAAATATCCTGGAAAAGTTTAATTGTATTTTAGCCCCGCACTCGCATATGTAAACAGAATTTGAGAAAAACTTGTAAACTGAAGTCAAATAACCAGAGACGGAAAGTGAAAAAGCTAAAAATGTGTAAATTAGGCGTGTTGGTAAACAATATGAGCGTTGGTGAGAAAGTGTTGCCCTGTATTTCCTGGATAATGTCCTGGGAAATAATCTCTTAAAAAGTGAATAATTTGGTTATTAAACCCAACATTGATTTCAAGTTAAAACCTGGTGGATAAAATACAGTTACAACATCAACATGTCACAAAATACGAATTTTTTTCTTATTTTGTTCAGTTGTCGGTTATCAGAGAGACGGTATTGATTAGTGTGAAGGTATCTGACAGGTCAAAATGTTTTCTACACCAAGGT